ATAAAGTCCAGTATACAAAAGGAAATGGGAGATGGATACCATCTGTATGCAAGACTGTTCTTAGATATCTTCATTTTTAGAAAGCACAATCAAGACTTGCATAAACTCCATAATCCTACTCAATTGTTATTTGACAGTGGAGGGGAGGCAGAAAATATTCAAGTTTGTAACTGAAAACTAATTCAAATGAATCACAAAGTTAATGTCTGAAACAGGTACCCCAAAGTGATTCATTCCAAGTACAGGAGGATACTATTGGGGGATAGCATGGCTCTCCACAAGATGTGTGTCTCCCTGCATGGGTTGTACAAGCCATCTAGACTAAGATAAATGAAAAGCATCTAATTCACTGAGCCATGTAACACTGAAATACAATGTGCCCTAACTCTATAAGCACCTGGCTGTCATGTCTCCTGCTGTCTGGGTCACTCAGGCCTGACTCACACCCTTTTATGAGTTACCTCTGAAGTTACTTTAAAGTAAGCTACTGTCAGTGGCTTACAAGCTGCTGATTTTCTATTTATTTTTTAAAAATCCTGGGATATTTCCACAAACAAAACAAAAACATGCAATTATTTGGCATCCATAATGACTGTGCAATCATAACCACAGCCTATGCCAAAGCATTCCAGAAGATACTGGTTAATTACCTACAGAAGGTATTTTGTTAGAGCAAACCACCTCTAGAGCAGTTTGTTTAGCACAGGAACAAAATAAAATTAATCCTAGCCCAAAACCTAAGTCTTTGACCTGGTGGTCAAGTAATTAAATGGAGTATTATCACAGAATTAAACCTTTATTGCTAAGTTAACAATTCTGTGTCTAATTTGTTTCAAAGTCATAGTATTGGCCAGGATTTCAACCTTATCAATAGTGAAATTGTGTTTATATTTTTCTCTTTTTAAATTAACTCAAGATAACAAAAACAAAACAAAAAACTAAAGCACTTCACTAGCCTAACTACTATGAAAGAGGAGAAAGTGGCTGGACATCTACACCACCAGTAATGCGTTTGGACACGATAAGCTGTTATTAAGCACCAATGCTTGTCATCTTATATTCAAGTTAAATTTAATCCGTGCTCCAACAATCTTGTAAATCAGACAAAAAAGGTCTCTTGAGGCTGAATTACAGGAGACTGTAATCTCCTATAGGGAGCCAATAGTGGAATGGGCAAGGAGAGACTCATACAAAGGGTTTGAGCCAGCCTGGGAATCTGGGGAGCATTGACCCAATTTGTATTCTTCTATTTTTGTTGATCAAGGGATGTTTTTTGCCACATCAGCAACAACACATGGTTTCCATCCAATTTACAACAAAATGATTACAAACAATACAATTAAGTTTTGCAAAAAAATACTCCGTTGTATTATTATAACAAAAGCTGCCATAATTATGACAGCAATAATAATTATTTATTTTAGTTTAAGTAATAGCAAGAGGTCCAAGTAAGTCTGATCCTGTTATTTTTGGTGCTGCACAACTTTAGTGAAGCTACTGTGGCCCAAAGCATCTTAAGAACTGCTCAGGCCACACAAAGAGCAAAGAGAGTAAGAAGGGGATGATTTTTCTGCAGGCTGCCAGCGAACCTGCTCGCTCAACTTCAGGTCTCCTGCTTGCCCAAGCTGTAGCCCCCCACACGGAGTCTGCTGCTTTTTCAGCCAAGGGGACAGCCATGGGGCCTGGCACACACACACACACAAGCACTGCAGGTTTTCAGTATACTTACCTTGACTTTCCCCTATTTGGTACTCCCTCAAATACTGTCTCCAGTCCAAATCATCTTTCTTCACAGCTTCCGATCTCTAAATTCATTTACTGTAAGTTACATGTTACTACAGAGTAGATCATCTTAGTATTAAATTATAAGGGCAGAGAACTTGCATAAAAGTGGAAATAGCAATTTAAAACTGCTGTAGAAAAAGATTTTTTATAGAACAAACATCTTAAATGCAACTCTGGGTTAAAAAGAATAGACAAACCTATAATAAACGTGACCCTATCAAAGAAAACTAAACAATCTCAATTTAGAAGAATATAACATATTGTATGCTCAATAAATTTGTATTTTTAAAATGGATTTGAATTAAGGAAGCATTCCACAGATCTCATATTCCAAATAGTAGCTTCCGTGGTGGGACTGACATAGGATGAGACCTTTATATCGAACATGGAAAGCACTTGATCCTCTCCAAGAAAATCCAGTTTCTATCGCCCCTTGCCATCCTCAATCTTTCCAGATAAGCTCAGTCTAATAATCACTCTTCCCTTCCTAACATAAAGGCAACTCATTTCCAGAAAGAGATTCTACCATATGAGCTGTCATGTTCTAAACATAGGTATTTCCTTGTCCAAAGCACTCCGCACAACATATGCCTGCACCTTGCTTCTCTATTGATAGACTGCTGCTGTTTTCAGAGTAGACAGGTATTTAGAAAGAAAGGGAGTCAATGTTTAAAACAGTGGAGTCTTTGTTTGTTTTTGGTTATTTTTTTAAGAGCAGGAACAGCTACTCCTTTCCACCAAACAAGTGAGCTGGAAAAAAGCTCCAGGAAGAAAAAACTTCAGAAGATAGATTTAAAAACGTACAATAGTTCAGCCACCTTAATTAATTACGCTTGAAGCTTTTGTTCTGTGAAGGGCCTAGTCTGTTCATTCTAGGTTCAAGACAGACACACTGCCAACCACTTGCTAACAGCAATGGCCACTCACTGCATTGCCCAGAAACTACCGGGGCACATTTGAGGAGAGTAAAATGCTGCCCCACAACAGAGCTCAGAAGAGAGCATCCTTTTTCATACAATCATGTGGCTCATTAGTGGAAGCACTACAGAAACTAGGAAGAAAACACTTGCCTTTCTCCTATAGCAATGCAGTATGAGACTTCTAATTCCAAGCATTTTATTCTGGAATAAATTACTGCTATAAGCAAAGGAATGTAATAGCTATAACACCAACTGCCTGCTTCAAAGACATGGAATGCAGTCAAGAGAGGACGAGCGCAACATTACTCCCCACTGAACTTTCAAAAACAAGCATTAGAAAATAAGGAGCAAGCTAAAAACACAGCTTTATTTCCAATTACAGAGAGACACAACTTTTAAAATAATCTCAGTTCTCCCATTAGCCCTCCTCTCTTTTAAACCAAAGGGAATTAAAAACAAAGATTCTCTCTCCTTATCTTTTTGCTGACTGCAAAGGTTGTTTAGGTTTCCAGTTTATATATCACACATTTCAAGCACCTCTTCAAGCCATAACCAATCTTGACTGCGGGAAGGTGAGAAAACATTCTTCTTTCTCACATAATTTCTGTATAGAAGCCGCTTTGACTTCCCAGTGAGTAAGAACACCTCTCTATAACTGAAAGTTAGCCAGGATGACCCTTTCTGTCAAAGACTACTTTTCTAGAGACCAAACTATTACCTACAGAAAAATATTTTACTATATATAAAGGTAAAATCTTCACAATGACATTCACGCTTTAAGGAAGATCCACCCTGTAACATGATAGTAAAGGCTATGACACTGAAGATGTATTTTAGGCAGAAGAAAGCTTTTAAGATCACATATCAGGATTGTTGGGTTCTCTAAGTGCTATACATTTTAATTTTGTTTCCAGCTGTCAAACCTGGTAGCTCTCACATGCTTGCCAGTATTACAAATGCTCCATTTGTTTCACCTTGCTGGTGTTAACTTTCTTTAGTTGCATTCCCTTTCTTGTGCTCGCCACCTCACAGCCCCAGAAGTGAAGCAGTAGTTGGGCATCAGGAGGATGTACAGCTCCTCTAGCCACTGCTGCCCTCACCTCCCAACAGGGATTAGCAGGCAGCTTGTGACACTTTCTTGGCAAAAGCATCACTTCCCTACAGCAGCGGCAGACGCTCCTCAGGCGCATCCTTCCAAAACTACCACAGTTACAGCCTTGCTGTGTGGCAAAGCTTCCACCTGCATGCCTGTATGTTGTCAGCAACAGGGCAACCGTATCATCAAGCTTGCTTTAATACATATTGCTCTCCTTCTACGCTTGATGTTACCAAGCACGTAAGTTTTAGGTATGAGCACGTACACACGTTGGTTGATGCCAAACTGAGCCAGGAAAAAGATGTCTCAGCTGTTTTACATTCTACTTTGTCTGCTATGGTTACCAGCAGCCTATAAACATATGACAAAACATACACAATTAAACTGGCTAAAGCTCACAACAAACCAGAAATAGCAGCATGGGAAACATCTTTCAGTTAGTATTAGGAGGAGTATTTAGACCTTTTAAAAGCAAAATAGCATTTGCTCTATAGTCTATCAAACAACAGTAGAAACACACTTCCCAGATCTCCGTAATCTCTGAGCAAAACCTAAACTTACACTGGACTTGATATCAAGCCTGAAAAATCCTTTCTGACTGATGCAAAAGACTAGTTTTCCACAACTTCAGGGAAAGACTCTGTAATGAGAATTCAGATTAAAGTCTGCAACATAAACCAGCAGCTTCTTATGTTCATGAACACAGAATGCAACAGATATATACGAAGCTACAAAACAAGTTAAAATTACTTACTCAAAGCACAGTCCTTTGTCAAATTTAATATCTCCAGATTTTCTGCTTATATATTTTAAGGGGTAAAATAAATCACTCAAAGCAAAAGAGCAGTAATAGTTTATTGTGATATTGGCAGTTTTAATCAAATAATATTGAGTTCTCCCCCTTTTTTGCCTGCCAGTTTAAATATTTTATCTACATCTGTTTTGTTACTTTACAATTTTAATATCTTCATCTTCTCACCTGATTTACCACAACAACAGAGGAGAAAGAACAAAGTCTTGAAAACATAAGGAGATACATCATGGTAAATCTGTTCTTTAATTAAAAAACAACAACAACAAAAAAAACCAAAAACCCCAAAAAACCAACCCTCCATACTGGTCTTCATTCAGAATAATATAAATATCCAAAGCAATTTGTACCATTTGGTAATATATTTTCTTTTTTTTTTGTCTTTTTGCATGTATGAACACAGAACACACAATTTTAGCCACACTGGAACCATCTAAACAATAATATAATGTTCCATAGTTTTACATGCATTCTATCCTTGGTATGCTGATTATAGATAGCACAGGGTCTCTGTTCTTTATCTACAGCAGTTTCCATTTTAGACTATACCCTAAGTCAACTTAGAAACATCCATTAGTTACTAACAGAAAGAATCACAGGAAAGTTTCACAACAGTTTACTAAAACATTATTTTGTTTTTAAATCACAGTTTTCAAATATAAAAATTGGATTTTCCCTATAACTGAAATATATTTACAAGAACATTTTAAAAAGATGTTCTGTAATTTAGATCTAATCACTGTCATCTGAGCCACCTTCGGACCCATCGTTGTTGGATCCTTCTGGTTCAGATTCATTGCCCGATCCCCTGCCAGAGCCCTCATTGTCAGACCCCCTCTCCGACTCTCTGTCCGAGTCGGCGCTGCGGGAAGCCGGGCGAGATTCGTTTTCCGAACCACCCGAGCGGCTTCTCCCCGACTGTACAGACTCGTTGTCAGACTGCTCCGAATCCGACCGCCTCCTTTTTCTGGCTGACCTGTCACTGTCAGACTCCTCGTCGGACGGGCGGACGCTGGACCTCCTCGGGCTGCCTGCCTCGCTGCCGGACTTGTTCCTGTGATCGGAATCGCTGTCAGAAACAATGCGCTTGCTGTGTTGCTGGTCTCCATCTTCCGAATCACTGTTGCTAACCCTAGCATGCCTGTAGGCAGGGAAATAAAAGAAAGGGAAAGAAATATATATTAAAAATATATTAAAAATGGTATCTATATTGGTAAATATGGTACCTATATTAAAAAATAGTATCTCTTACTTAAAGATAATACAAGACACCAAGATTTCAGTAATGCTGGCAAAATCAAATGATTATGCTAACTGGAATGATTTGGCAAGACTAGGCATATGGACTAGTAGGTGAAAGAAAAGACTGAAAACAGGAGTAAGAACATAAGCCTAGTATGGTAACTTTGAAACACAGGAAGGAAAAGCTTCAGCTCAAGCAACACCAGGAGGATACAAAAATGACTCCTCAGAATGGAGACTCAAGAGGTTCATATTTTGTTTCTATGGCACAGTATTTCATATTCCAGAAAATGCTGATTTTTTAACAAAAATTTAAATATTTAGGGAAAAATTTGTAAGGTTTGAAGGGTTTGAAAGTTGAGAAAGTTGCGGCATATGTAAATTTTGAAAAATTTTAATCAAGTAAATACTTAATACTGCATCAACATGATGCAGTTGCTTAATATACTTAAAAATATTTTTATTTAGACTGGGCAGCAAGATCATATATGCTTCCAGAATTATGAAAAGGAAGAGGATTTCAAGATTTCAAACGCATGAAAGACAACACCATAGTTTCTCTTGCATGTATGCACTGACACTCTTGTATACACAAGGTTCAAAAACAGTTCATACCCATCATCAGCAATTTTGAGTTTATCCTCATCAGAAGAATCATCACTAGATGAAATTATGGCTTTTGACTTGATCTTTCCTTTCATTGAAGGAGGCAGACGCTCAGGTTTGGGCTGTAATGAGAGAAGGGGGAAAAAAAAAAATTACAAAGGTAGGGACAGATGCAGAAAACCAGGAACACTTCTAACACTTGCTCTAAATTTGATCAAAATAAAACACTATTACTTATTCTGTATGACTTTAGAAACATACTTTTTATCCTCAAAACAGCTGTAGCAACAGGGGAGGACAAAAATAAGTCCAAAGGCAGTTTGCTAAAAGAATCTTTGTTATAGCTTTCAACATCAGTATCTCTTGAAAAGTGAAACGATGAGGTAAGAAATGCACATTCAGAAAATCAACAAGCCATTATTCAGTAATTAACTTACAGCCTTCTTCTTCTCTGCTTTGGGTGGACGTCGTTTTTTAGGTCTTGGACCATTTTCATGCTCTTCATCATCACTCCCCTCATCTGCTTTCTGGGGTCTTAAACAAAGTCATACTTTATAGCATGTAAAGCATATAATGGCAAAAGACTTAACCTTTATCATTATCCCATGAAATCTTCAGTTGATCAAGTGTTATTCATTCATGTCTTGCATAGGGGCTATTTAATATTTATTCATATGTGCATATTACTAAGGCCACTCATTCATGTGACCTTATCAACTGCTCATTTTTTAAGCTCTTACAAAAGACATCGGGGGGAAAAAAGCCCTATTATTTCTCTGGAAAGTCTAATGTATCACTTACCTCCTCCTCTTCTTCTTCTTTCTCTCTCCTTCCTCTTCTTCCCCTTCTTGTTCACTACCACTGCCCTTTCTCTTCTTTTTCTTTCTAGACATGGGTAGATCTTCATCACTGTCATCATTGACAAACTCATCAAATTCCCCTGTTCCTTTTTTGGAACGCTGTAATAAGTAAATCAATTTTAATTTATTCCACAATATAGTCCATTATTCATATTCCAGTCAAAGCAACCAGAAAAAAAGACCAAAAAAATTATCTTAACACATTTATAAAAACATGAAAACACAGACCACTGCATGTCAATTTTCCCTGAATCTCTAGACTGATATCAAGACACCAATTCCAAATCTCAACATAAGAAAATAATCTCCTTATTTGAAAAACTGAACAAAACAGATTGTGATAATGCCACCTCATGTGGAATCTTTAAGAGTTAGCTTCGATTTTTATGCTTATTACATCTGTATGATTTTGCAAAGTAGAGGTGAGGGGCTTGGGTTAATAAATTATGTTACTCTCAGAGATAACTCCCTGATATAAGAAATATAAAAATGAAGACAGGGAGAAGGAAGGAATAATAAAATAATAATAATAGTAATTTGTTCTACCCTTCCTCCACCACCACCACGTTTTTTCTCCTTTGATCCTTCGACTTCACCAGTGAACATCAGAATGTTTTTGGTCTTCTCCACATATTGAGCTCTTTGTTCCAGAAGTTTCTTCTGTTCTTCTTTTTCTCTTAGACGCTTCTCTTCCTGAAACAGAGGAAAACTAATCATTACTACTGCATTTATATTGTCTCTAAGATTGTAATTCAAGGCATGTAAATTATGTGTTGGCAAAAGGTGTGAAAATCTACTTCTGGAAGTTTGTTATAACAGAACACCCACTGCTTTGAAAACTAGGCAAGTTTTCTACCAGCTTATGCTGATAAAGGGAAAAAAACCTTAAGAGCTGTACTCAGTTGCATGAAGCGCTTTCTTGCGCAGCCTGCAAGTACAGAAGTCTGAAGGCAGATCTTCATTAAAAAGAGGAGAGGAAAAAAAAAAAGAAGCTACATGCAAGAAAGAATGCATATTTCTGGTTAGCTATAACATTTTCTGCAAGCACTTCTTATATCCCAACAAAAGCCTTCTAGATATTTTATCAGTAACACCAGGTGCTATCACAGAACAACAAGGGCACATACACTTCATTAAAAACCATGAGCACAGAATTTAACAGAGCAAAACCTGTTCTTTAAGTAGTTTTTGGCGAAGCAGTTCCTTTTCTTGCTCTTGCTTGGCACGCAGTTCTCTCTCTTCTTCATCCTGCTTGCGTGCCCGAGCCACATGATACTGGGCCTGGCTCAATAAGTCAGAGCACTGCCTACAAGATTCAGCATTTCAAGTAAATGGAGATGACAGAAACACACTACAAGAAGAAACAATTTTCTAAAGGGCATGCATCCCACCACTACATTTTGTATCAGGGACAAAAACAGCCTACCTGAAATAGTACAATTAGAACACTATAGATTTTTGAGAAAACTAGAGGAACTTCTAGCAAACTAATAATTTATCTTTAAATTGCAATATACTTTTTTTTTTCTCTGAGCATTATGTTTCACTCTTAAGATTTAGCTAATTCATATACACAAGTTATACATTTAAGTTTCATCTCAGCTCATCTGAACAGCTTCAGAAATACAGTTAACAGGGACAATTTAACCACAGCTTATTGGAAAGCCTGACCAAAAAGGCAATTATTTCAAAGAAATCTGTCTACCTATGAGCTAAGGTTCCATAAGGCACTAAAATCTCCAAAAAATATTAAAGCTAGAGATGCTTTCAATAACCCTGTATAAGCTAATGCAACACTGACATTTCTTTTAACAACAAGATTAAAATTCTTCTCTGTACAAAGTGGTTTTAATGATAATCATTTAAGATATATAGTGCAGTATTGTCTGCAAGTATTCCTATTAGAGATTTAAGAATATGCTATAAATAATAATACATTTTTTTTGGAGTTTTGGAGTTCAGTTTTATTCTGGATAAAAAACAAACAAAAGCACTCAAAAATACTCCAAATATGAATGATTAAAAAAAGTATTTTTTTTTACCTGGCTTCTGTAGCAGCAAGTGCCAAATCAAATCTCATTTTATCACCTACTTTACTTAAGTAACTGAAGTACCTGGTGGGAAAACAACAAAAAAAAAAAAACAGGAGAAATGGCATTATCTGAGGATTTGCTATAGTTCTGCCTTAAAATTAAGCATTTATAGCTGAATTAAAGTCCTCCAAAACTCAACAGAAGAACAAACCTCACTCTAGAAGTGAGCAATAACCTAGCAAAATTCTAAAAATATTTCAGAAATTTTATCCTAATTTATTCCAACATAAGAGAATATCATAATTATACAGACCAATTTCATCATGTTATAAACCACTTAACAGTTAGAACTAAGCACAAGAACCAATGATGCACCCAACAGACTACTGGCTACATAGATCTTAGATGCTTGGTCATGCACTCTTAAATTCTGTATAGTTTAGCAACTTAAACAAAAAAAAATAACTAAACAAATTTCAGTGCATCCTTTGCAACAGAGTTTTGTGCAAGTGCTACTGTACTAGACAATTTTTTATTTCCTAGAAAAGAAAATCATTAGATCACTTCCACATACCGCAATCCTCATAACTTGGAGTCACAGCTCAGAAACAGAGGTTTAACACAAGAGTTTCTGAAAATCCGTTCTCCATTTCCTAACCTATTATGACCCCAAAAAGATTGGCTACCAAATTCTGATTCTTCTCCTGACACTGCTCGGTTTAATCCTCAAAGCCTCTGCTGACAATTGTCAGGAATTTTACTCCTTGATGCACTGGTTCCCACCAATAACCCCACTGGCAACCCCATTATATTTACTCCGAATACTTGAAACCAACAAAAGAAGGGAAAGAAACAAAGGTGCTTATTAACTTCTCCCAGAACAGCCACCCTAACCCACTTTACAGGCTAAGCAGGCAGGTACGCCCAGATGATCAGTGTTTTAAAACCACTTTCTCCAATCTGTTTACAAGAAAAGGACCTCCGAATTATTTCAAGCTTGCCAGTTTCTTCCCACATCACAACACAAGTATTTTTAACATGGAGCTCAAATTCTTGGGCATCTAAAGAAAACATTTTTATTTAAAAATATTTTTTAAAAGTTAAATATGACAGATACTTGAATTCTCGGTAAATGAGTACCAATATCTTTCATGAAACTTTCTCAAAGTAATAGGCTTCTAAATGAACTTGTGTAAATTAAAGTTTGTTTTTGAAGGTATAATCTGCATTACACACATCACTAGGTTTGTGAAGCGCTCATTTGTACGAAAGATTTTTTTTGTTGTTGCTGAAAAAAGTAACTTAAAAGCTTTTGCATAGAGGATATGTTTTGGTCAATACAACAATGAACTATTTTTCAATTACAAATACCAAAAAAATGAAGAGATGATATCAGGCCACATAATCCCTGCCACTATAAACATCTGAAAGACAACATCTATTCTGAGTGAGCTGAGCTGGGACTATGTAAGAAAGCATCAACTACCTCAACCTTACCTAGGAATGGGATATTACAGGACTTGAAAGGACAACAGGACTTGAAAGCACAACAGTATTTTCCTTCCACAAAAGATAATGTTTTGGTGTTTTAGAGAACCAACAGATGTGAAGAAGCTTAAAAAGAAGCTTCTGTTCTAAAGTTAGAAGAGTGCTTGGGCTTTGCTGCCTACTTGAGAACACAGTTAGTTTTCAAGAATTATTAGTCACTAACCAGGCTTGTACACAAAATTAGCAGATCTAATTTTGAGATCCAGGTTCAAAAATCTGTAATTTTTTTGAAGAAACCTTCACGACAATGAAAATTTTAGATGAGAAGAGTATTTACAGCATTTTCTCCAACTACAATCTTCCAAGAAATAGTACATCTTGGTCATGATAATACAGAAACTTTAGCAAATACGTAAGGACCACCTGGCCATTAAAACTGGCTCTGAAGAAACATCTAAATATTTATGGGGCAAATTCTGGTTACACCATTAGGAATTCTAGAATTAAGCACACTGTTTCACAGAAGACAATCACTCTCCTTCCTAATCAAAACTGGACTTATACTGTACAATTGTAAGGAAACACTGAAAATATAATGATTAGAGATAAGATGGCTTTACCTGTGAGCTAGCTCCAGTTCTTTCACAGCATTAAGCACCTCTTTTAGATTGCTTTTTTCATCTTTTAGGACAGAGGTAGCTAGTCTTTGCAGCACTAAAGCCACATTAAACATAAGTACTGTATCACTTGGTGCTACATGCCTGGCCTGTTAAAGAAAAGCACATTTTAAAGATACACAACAATGTCCCATACAGGTGTACTGACATGACTACAGATGGTAAAGCACTATTTTTTCAATTAAACTGTTATATAGAGACACACAAACATGCATCAATTTACACTAATTGTATTCTGTAATATATGATGTTATATATTCATACCTTTAACAAAGTTTGCTTGCATTCCTGTAACTTGCCACATTTGAAGAGGGCCCGAGCCAAATACAACAACACCTCTGTATTTTGATGCTTATAGAACTTTCTGAGGCAGTTTTCATACTGAAATAGAGAAATCAAATTAAGAAGTGACAATGACTAGTTACTTTTTATAGCTAACTGAAGGAAATTCTTCTATTCCTGGAAAGCATTACTGCTAATGTGCTCAGACTCATTTTAAGAGCACACACTATTCTCTGCAGTATGAAATTCGATGCAACTAATTACAAAAAATATATATAAATATATATATAAAGTAACTCAATATACAGAATGTGTGTAAGCTGATAGGTGCTTTGTTACTCTATCTGGATTTGACAGTGTGTTTCTAAATCCAGACTTGACAGCTAATACTAAACTAGAAACAGACTGGGAACTGGCCATGTATTATTCAGAATCTTAGGAGCTGACAATGACAGCAAAGAAACATACAGAACTGAACATATTATATAGTTCAATTTAGAGAGGTTACCATCTGCACAGCACTGATGTACTGTTTCTGTTCTACATATATGTGTGCCAAATTCAGCCAAACATCACTGATATCTGCCGTTGCCTCTCTCACTTGGGCAAAAACATCACGAGCTTCACGGAAATATCCTTTATGTGCCAAGACAGCTCCTGAGGAGAAAGTAATACGTACAGAGTAACAGTACAGTATAGCAGCTTCATTTACTAGGCATTCCTACTAGAGAAAATAGTGCCCCATTAACAGCTGAGCAACACAGCTATTCTATGAAAGCTTTGCTTTATCTGCTTCGCTAACTAGTGCGTGACTCTTGCAAAAAACCAACGCTATATACTAAAATACGAAGCATGAGAATATCACAGTCTCTGACATAAGGAAAATCAAAGTCTAATATTCACCTATGCCATTGGCAGCATACAAATTCTTTGGATCATTTCTGAGTACTTGCTTGTAGATTGCTAATGCACGGTCTTGATGACGCTTTTCCTACAGAAAGGAATAGAACAATTTATCATTTCTGCAATGGGGTAACTACAAGATCTACTCAGCATCTTTATGGATTATAGCATGTCCAATAGGCAACATGAAAACTGTATTAAGTAGATGACAGCATATCATAAAGCCACATACACCGCACAGAGATGCACATTACCTTTTCTCTATCCCTTGTAGGTTGATGCAGAGTCTGCAACCAAACATTGCCAAGAGCCAGCATGGAGTAAGTATCATTTTGTGTGGAAGGTTGTTTCAATATTCTCTCAAATTTCTTCTGTCCTGGACCCCACTCTTGTTTAGCCAAATGAAGATTACCAATTAGAGACCAAGCATCTGGATGGTCCTGAACAGAAATTCACTGTAAGTTGAAAAGCAGTGTCCCCTTGCAAGGTTACTTTTTCAAGTATAAAGTGTTGTGTGAGTGTGTGAGGTTTGTTTTGTTTTTTTAAAAACAAATCTGAAGTACCAAGAAAAAAAAAAACAAAGATTACAATACTGTTCTCTTCACTTGTTGATCTGAACAAACAAAATAAACCATGGCATAAGGTTAATAAAAGTGAAAGTGTAGGTTAGCATGTCTAAGTTAAAACACCTGAAGTGTTACAAACCTGATTTATCTGAAGTGCTTCTTTAAACCAATCAGAAGCTTCATAAAAATTTCCTTTATCTCTAGCCATAGCTCCCAAGCGCAAGTAGCCTTGAAGGAGAGAGGGGAATGAAAAAACAAAGAAAGATCAGTTTAAAGTCATCTCAAACAAGAAAAAAAAAACAACAACCAAAAAAAATTTCAAACCAAATCATTTTCTTGATCTGCTCAGGACAGCCAGCTATAAGACACCTTTTGTGTTCTATTCACTATGAGACACACTAAGTAAACAGGAAGTTCCATCCACAGCAATGATTTACAAGTTGCAGATTTTATTCTAAAATAATTTAAATGCTTTTAACTGGCTTCCTAAGTTACAGACAACTGAAAAACCTTAGAGAAAGAAGGATACATCAGTTCTGTAAGTTATTATTTGGTTAGTTTGAGCAAGTGGCCATGGCAGACAGCCAGGATAAAGGCCATAGTTGGTTGGGGCCTGATCTGTATGCTCTGCTGAGCAAAGGTTACCTCCTCTCCTTTGCAGCAAATACCACAGGTGAGCTGCTTGGGGGCAACAGGAAGAACAGAACAGAGTGAGGAAGAACACCTGTGCCCCATGCCCGCCCCCTCCCCAAACCCCTTGTTAGCAGCTTCACCAACACCCCTCAAAAGCCACTCTTCCCTGAAACAAGGCCAAGGTCTAAGATAAAGCTGTTCTCCCAAAGTGTCTCTTTTTCTATTTCTGCGGCCAGGTAAAGTCAGAGAGGCTGGGCATATCAAGGGGATGCTCTTGACTGAACCTGAGGTGCAAGCTGATAAGGCTTTGGTGAAGGGTGGAGGGCAAGGGAGAAAAAGACATACAAATACAGACAAGATAGTTTAGATGGAGTTTGGAGTACAGTATGAATTATCAATACTTGGGAGGCTTAAGTCTAGCATATAAACGAAAACAGAAGGAGGACAAAGAGGCCCCAAAACTACAATGAAAAGAGGTGAAGATAGATACAAAGAGACCAGAAAACACTCTACATATGAAGACTTTTGGTATTTTAAGGAGGACTATTGAACCAAAATACCAAACACTTCTTACAATCAACGTAATTAGGATGTTCTCTTAAAATGTTTTTATACAGCTTTTCCGCTTCATGAAATTCACACATCGCCTCATATAGTCTGGCAAGGTTATAGGACGTTGTTACAGAGATAGCATTGTAATAATGCTCATCATGTTCAGCTTCTGCTTTTGCACGATCCAGTGATGCCAAAAAATATTTCTAAAGTATAAAAAGAAAAAGGAATAAAGCAGTCCTGAATATTCTTATAGGAAAAATTCTGGGTGATCAAGCAACTCAATTTAGACTTTGAAAAACTGCATACCTTGGCTTCTCCTAGGTTTCCAAGTCTGAAGTGCAGAGCACCCACGTTATTCAGAATCTCGGGTGGGACATCAGCCTGCACTTTCTCTTGCAGAATGCGTGTGGCTGTTCCATAGGCTGACAGAGCACCCTTTACAAAGACAAAGAATGGTGATGAAAGAAAGAAGAAGAATTCTATGTATTCTGACTAAATGCAGACATACAATTCATACACTGCATACTAATAATACCTGTATATCAGTCTGTTCTAGAATTTGTGCTAATTCAATCCATGCTTCTACATCATCTGGATACTGCTCTGTGACTTTCTTCAAATGACCCTGAGGAACAGCAGAAAATAATTACACCTCTTTGTGGATGCATTAATTGTTAAAACAAACCTTGAAGGAAACAACGATGGTTTTAACCTCTTCATTAAAAGATTCATCATATTGTCTTCTGCAAAAGAAAACACATCCTGAATATTTGCATAACTGACTAAAGCTTAGTGACAAAAAAGTTTCTTTTCCCTCATCATGATACCTTCTACAGAATGCTATACAGGCGTAACATTTTAGGGAAGCATAAAATACTAGATATTAATGTGTGGGAAAGTGGGAATAGTGGTATCCAAGACTTGCTACACTTACCTAACATTAGAGTAAAAAAATTTTCATTAAAAACAAATGCGCGCACACACAAACAATACCACAAAAAAACCAAAACTCTTTCCAAATTTAAGCTGAGAAGTGTATTTAGGAAATCACTAGTTAATTTGTCATTCTCACAGTATTTGTAAATATATGGAAAGAATTCTCCCCTTTTCACAGTGCGTAATACAAAAATGACGCTGGACCTCCTCTAAATTCCTGAATTTCCCTTATCTGCAACCTAGCAATAGCCCTACAACTGACCAGAAGTGGTAACTCTCCACAGTTAAGAGCATCCCTGATGATGACCAATATTAAATAATCTCAATGCACAAGCAATTCGGTATTTAAAGTTACACTCTGAATTTTATGCATCTTATGGTATAGCTAGATTTCAAGGAGCAAGTTCTATTCTTGGATGTTGGCATAATAAGATGCTGGCAGAATTCTCACCTTCGCAATATCCCGTTTCTCCTGGTCTTCTGAAGCTGCATAAAGAGAGCCAAGGATTTTCATAGTCTCATAATTGTTAGGATAAGCTTTCAAAACTTTTTCAAAGCATTGTGATGCATTCTCTTTGTCCCCTCGATAAATGTACATCTGACCCAATCCAAAAAATGGAAGTACAAAAGAGGATGAGGCAAACTGAGTGGCCTGATAATAATATTGGAAAGCTTGATCGTAATCTTCCTGATTAAAAAGAAATAAAGAAAAGGTAGTGTTATTGTTTGCATAGTTAACAGCTGTAAGCACTTTTGTAACACAGAATTTTAAAGTATATTTTCAAAGGAGGCTTTTAAAAAAACTTCTTACCTGTACATGAAAAGATCTAGCCAACTGGTAACAACTCTCTGCCTGCATTGCTTCAACTTCTGTATTATGGAAAGCATGAAGAGCCAAATGTTGGACTTTGCCATAATCCTGAATAACAAAAGGTGCATGGAGTTTGAATGACTTCATCTTGTATATGGCAAAGAAACACCAATAGCTATTCATATTTATTTTTTAATATACTGTGTCTATTCATTGAAAGCTTTAGCTGTAGCATGGACTAAATACCAACAAATATACTTTTACTTGTCACTATCCTTTCCTCTGTACTGTATTTTAAAACCTGAGGTGAGTGGGAGAAACCCCTCAGGACTCCCAGGTGAGCTTGAATTAAAAGTTAAGCGTCTTTTCTTGCCTTTCTTGGGAAATACCAGCTATACAAGCAGTTCCATATAATACCCCATTTTGCCTGACAAAACAAGATTGAATCTAACAGTAGCAACCTTGTTGTTGAAAGGTTGTCGAATAGTTGACAAAATGTTCCTCTTACCTTCTTGAAGAAGAAGTGATTAGCCAAGTGATTCAGCACCATTGGATTACTGGGATCAATTGTGTAAGCCCTAGAAAGGAGTTGGACACCATTTTTGATGGAATCAGCCTAGAGGAAAGATTAACAGGAATCAGTAATATCTTAACAGCTGTATTCATTAGCATCTTCAAAGCTATTCTTCAGTCCAGGCAGATGCAGGAACTCTAACAAAGTCCTTGCTAGGTTCACAGAAAAAAAAAAGTGAATTCAGCAACAATTTTTTTTTTCCTTTCCCAATTCATACAGATAGAAAAATAGGCGATTAAGCCTCTACATAGGGCAGACACAGATTTTCTAGGAGAAAAAAAAAAAAGAAAAAAGAAATGCTTTGCCTTGTCTCTTTCAATACTTATCACACTACTAATCATAATAAAAAAGGGAGGCTAACAAGGTAAAAAATGCTCTTCTACTATTCAATATACCTAACTCTTGTTTGGCTTAGGCTTCCTCCCTTTACTTGATTCATTCAGAGAGGTGAAAATTCTCATGTTCAAATTCTAATCAAGAAATTCAAAAATTGAGAACTACCCAAACTTAAGTTATAAATAATAAATAAAGCAGGTTTGCTGTTTTTACATAGCAAAATTACATCTAGATGTTCTCTTCTGAGCGATTTCTAGCTTGAAGGAAGCTTTCCATGGGTAAAAATTTGACTTAATTTCAAATCTGTAACTGATACAAAAACTGCTATTTGGGACATTCATAGATTTTTATCATATGTCATCTTAATTCTGTATTTATTTCCCAACACTGTCACCAAAAATAATTATTGAGTAACACGTAACATCTATGCTTTGCTTTATACTACCAGAAGAAAGGTTATCTTACTGAACAGATTAGGTTTTATGATGCTGAGACACCAAGAGACACAAGGCAGTCTTTCAGGCAACTAAAAACAATTTCAGCTTTAAAAAGCACCATTTTTCCATGGCTATCTTAGCTATATTGAATCATTCTTATCGTCAGCCTAATTACCAAAGACAAGAGATGCTGAAAGAGCTCATTCCTTGAAATTACTTGAAAGAGTTAAAAAAAATAAATAAATAAAATCAGGAAAAAAATGATAACATGCTTCATTAGTTTCTTCCTCTGAAATATTTATTAAGACCTGACTTCAGAATATTATTGATTGACTCTGCAGTTTTAGTAAAGAAAACTCCCACTGCATTTGCCCAAATTATTTATGCAAGCCTAAAATGTTTAAGCACATGATTTTGTACATTTGTGAGTAAAGAATGTCTTCGATGTCTATATTTTCTCTAAAAAGTAACACTGGGATCACACTTGACATTTTAGCAATGCGGTTACATAAGAAAGTTCACCCACTCCCCCAACCTTTAAAGTTCCTCCCCACCCCAATAACTTCTCCAGCTAGCTCAAATTCACTAGCTTAGATCTTATGACTCCAAATAAGCTAGACCATGCTATGCAATTATATATGTAGGAGGCAGGATCATTACTGTAACTTCATCAACCCAGTTAAGGCCAGTAAAATAAAGAATAGGCAAGAACGAGGCGGCACACATGCGAAGGTAGTTTGAATACAAGCTTTCACACAGTTATGGAAGTTATGCTCTGTAAAGCTCAGGACCAATCTCCTGAGACTACCTCTTTTATCCTGCCCTTGCTGTTGGCGTGTTGCTCTTTCAAAAAATTCCTTGAGCTCTGCAATAGATCTGCCAATGCAAGTGAGGTCTCCATGTACTGGGGACTTCCAGAGTACCCTGAGTTCAAACTGCTACAGCCACCTGTAGAGTCCCTGAAGACTAAGCAAGGCTAGCTATATATACTGCTCTGCATAATCTGACCAAGACTTTGAAACCAGCATTTTTTAAATGATTGGACACACATCTGAGCAAGGGCTTAGACTACTTTAATTAAAAGTTAACTTAGCATTAGTTTTCTGTACTTAGCATCTCAATAAGCAAGATAGCTAAAGGTTTTTAACAATAATGGGCAAAGTTATTCAGTGTGTGCTGCTCACATCTTAAGTACATATCTATAATATTATTCAATAATGACACTGAAATGATTTAATTAACCCTTTTAAAAGCTGAAGTACTTTTCAAAGCATTAAAAATGTTTTATTTTAAGATACAGAGAGAGTGAAGTGAGTATGGCTTCTAGTTAAGTCAGACCCACCTCTTTATTATTGAGTTCCAGAACAGCCAGTCCAACCAAAGCCCCTACGCATTTT